TTCTGTTTGTTATTTCTGTCTTTAAAATCTTTAAACTCTAAACTTGAACCGGCTAACAACACTCGGCTAAGATCGATCGGTCTTTTTATTTGGTATTTGGTATATAACACGTTTTTTTACATGAACCACGTATAATCAATGATCCCAAAGAAGCTAAAATGCACCTTTGCTTTCAGAAACTAAAAATTTCACAACATTATGAAAATCCATATGAACAGAAAGGTCACGGCTATTTTTTTAATTACGAAATGATCATCCATCAGCGTTTCGAAGCCTCTAGCACAGTGGCCGACAGCAGTTTTGAACTTTTTTTTGCAATTAAAGAGGTTTGATAGGATACGGCTCGTGTTCGGGAGGCTAGTTCTGCGCCTACTTACAGAACTTGACTTTGTTGTACAAGTGCTTTGCGTTCATGTAACGTTCAAAGTGCCTGCAAAGTTAAATAATGGATTTTAAAAACTCAAAATCGTCATACTCTACGCACTTTTAGAGAGACAAATGCAAGTATTAATGCTATATTACGCTCATAGTGCCTGCAAAGTTAAATAATGGATTTAAAAAAAATCAAACTCGTTTTACTCTACACACTTATAGAGAGACAAATGCAAGTATTCATGCTATCGCCGTGTGAAAGCCATGCATATGACGCGGTTTTGCTCTTTTATGAATTAGATGTCTTTCCCAGACCCGCGGCTAGTGTCTAGTGTTGTTCTGAACGCAGAAGGAATTCTTGTTTTACCTTACCTCCGTTTTTAGCAGTGGGGATACCAGATAAATCCCTCAAGTCCACAGCGACATCATTCTCCGCCAGATTCACAGCAGCCATCATAAAAAAAAAGATAATGATGCTAACTGCCAATCAAATGAATATCCAAAACACAGTCTGTGTTGACGTTTTTTTTTAACCTGACACGGAATTCGTGAAGCCGAAGCGATCCCGTCCCCGTGCGTGAAGCCAATGAATAGGGAAAGAGGTGACGGCACATCAAAAAGAGAGATATTTGGAAACTTCCCTAAGGTTCCTATGAGGAACACACGCGGGTCACCGGTTAGGAGCCGCGAGCAGCCGCCAGGTGTCGGAACGTCTCGTCCGGCGTGACTCGTCTACCCAGCTCGCCCTCGGAATCGCTGCTCTGAGCTCCGCACCCGAGCCGGGTTCGGTGAGACCGAAACACAGCGCGAAGACAGGAGAAATCTCTCGCGGCACCCAGCCTGGAAAGGGGGCGGGGTGGTCGGACCTAGCATTGACTGACGCTTTGCCAAACTGGAATGCCAACTATAGGGATTGGTTCGGCGAGAGCGCACAGGAGGGGAACTCCCTGTCCCTAATCTGGAAAAGTCACGGCACGGCTGGCCGAGGCTCGGTACAAAGAAGGAGTGTGATGACGAGGATGAAAAAATCACCTTTCGCAGAATATGACCTGAAAGCACCTACAATGAGAAAGCTTCTCCTTACACAGTGATGTCCGTGAACACAGTGATGTTTTAGCTGGCATAAAACCGCCAAACTGAAAAAAAAAAAACATTTCATATTGTGTGCGAACCTTTCCTATAAAAATCCTATTTTAATTCACCAGTGATTTTTAATTATGTTAGCACTTGTGTTGTTGTTTTTTTAATGCCAGTTTCTCAAAAGCACCAAGATCAAAGAGTCGCCTTGGTACAGAGGGATGACCATATCATATCCAGTACACTGCAAGTATTTTCCTTTATTCATCACGAAAACACTGCACCATCGTGACCGGGGACCCTATGCTATAGGAGGTTAAGCTGAGGTCCTGCTTTGGCATAGAAGATGCCCCCTGTACTGTATGGCAAGAGCCATTCCATATGACTGATAACTCAGCTTCTGTGGGTTTAAAAACCAGATGGGACTCTGCTCTTGGACTCAGGAGCTATGGGCATCACCCAAATTGTTTAGGGCAAAATAACCAATAAATTAAATCGCTGGACAATTATACAAGGAAAATGGAATCCCAGTGTCTTGGTTCAATTCCACTGAGTGTAGAATCTGCCCTTCCTGTTTCTCCCATAATGCAGCTGGCGAAGTCTCCTCTCTCCAGCGCCCTGGTCTGGCGCGGAGAGGGGCCGCTGGCGCGGGACACCCGGGTGGGTGGGGTATTTCAGTGGTGGGTGAAATAGGGCCCCTCGTACAGTATGTGTAACAGCTGTAGGGATCCTTAGGGGTGAAACCGCTATTTAAAAGCAGGTTTTACTCTTAATAACAGTAGGTGAGGGCTATATGGTGTGTAGTGTAATTTGCGGATTTGTGACTGAAAAATCGTGGTGTTCTTGTTCGAAAGGCAAACTGGTGTTGTCAATTTGTTTGTGGGAGGTTATGGGGGTTAATAATAGTATCTCCTTGTACAATATGACAAAAACGCATGCAATAAACGAATTTTCCATAAGCAAAGCTTTGTCATAAAAACCCAATTGTTTTAAAATCTTCTCCAGAACTATGTTAAATAAAACGAGCCCAAATATCCGCCTTCCCTGTGAGGTTTTTGCAGTTAGGCCCATAAGGATCCTGTCTTCACATGGTGCTCGACAGGTATCGCCTCAAACCGAATGAAACGCGCTTGAAGAAGGACAGCCAGTCACTTTTCGGTCACCTTCGACAGACTCGCGGAGCAAGAGCGATGTCTTCCACCGTACTGGAATACCGTTTGAAATCGGCGAGGTAACCCCCCCGGTGCTTAAAAGGACTTCAAATTGATCAAATCCCTAGCGCTGCTCTCGTGAGAAGGACTAGACGTCATGCCCCCCCCCCCCCATTTAAAGTTTCCCAACGCTGAAGTGGTTCAGCCGGAGACGTGTCGGTGTCTGTCGGGGCTTGAACGGCCGGCGGATTTGCGCGCGAGGAGCGCGGCCCGGGCAGAGCGAGCGGCCGGGTCCCGTCACCGGCGCCCCCACCCTGCGCTCGCGCCCGAGCTCGAGCTCGCGCTCGCGGGCGGCCCGTGTCTTCCTCGCCGCTCCGCTCTCCGCGAGGCAGCCCCGCGTTTCAACCCGTCAAACCGGAGGTCCCCTCCCTCCTCACACCGAAGACAAAGACTCCCCTCACGCCTGCTTTCGCTGCTAATGGCACCCTCCCGCCACGCTCGTGGCTTGTTTGCAACAATTAAGAGGGAGAGAACAGACGCAAAAAGAAAATGACCATAATATTCTGAAGTGGACATCACCGCTACTGATGTGTGCGAAGGCTGCATCTCTTTCTGTTGCGGGCTGGGAGTTCTCACGATCTGTTTCTGCGTGTCTTGGGTTACAACACATCTCCTCGTACTAATCCGTATTTAATTACTACCACACTGCCAGGGAAGCCTGCCCCGGTTCCAAATGGCTTTTTTTTTACCCCCACTCTCCGAGCCTGGGTTCTGCGGGGCGCGCGGTGCTCCCGAGCGCGTCGCGGGGCCTCGTCTTCACGAGCACGGGGTGGCTCGCGGGTCCCTGCTGCTCGCTAAAGCCGGCTGGGTTGTGTCCGCTTGTCGGCCGCTCACTGAGGTCATTTTCACCCTGCGGCAGGAGCTCTTTAAGTGAATCAAACTCCGAACGAAGTTTTTATTAGTGAATGAAGTATTTTCCTACAAGTTTTGTCACAGATTCTTATCCGGAGGCTGGCGCGTTGCTGCTTTTTAACTCAATTTAGCCTGCTGTTGCTTTCTCTTGAATTAGCCTGCTTCATGCTTTTTGTCGGCTGCCTAAGATGTTAAAACAACATTCATAGCCTTTTCTGATAGTTGCTTCAAAAGACAAAAAACTCACATAGGAGTGTTCAGAACTGTCATATGTGCATAAAACGTGACATTTGACAAATGTTCATAACATTTGTCAAAGACACGTTGGTTTTATGTCTTTGGTTTAGAGTTTTTAGTAATAGGTTTATGCTTAGGGTAAATTTGGGTTTTAGACGTTGGGTTTGGTTTCTCACGAAAACACATTGACCTTTTGGAGAGGTTTAATTGTTTTAGTTTGGTATGTAGCCTTTAGGAATGGTACGAGCTGCATAAAGTCTAATCCACAGGAAGAGATTCATATAATTGAACTCTTTAATTTTAGTTTGAGGCTATTGAGGGTTGTAAAGGGTTGTAATAATCATAACAGAGTTGTTTAAAGGTGCTATCTGGGACGTATTTTGACTTTCAAGTCGCTTGCGCCTCTTTCTCCACACAGGCGCAATTTTACGTGTTTAGCGCGAACACCGATTCTAAGTTAACTAGGGTATTAAAATAGCTTTAGATTCAGCCTCGCATCGAACACAAGCTTTTGTCGTACGGATGCCAACAGCAGGCCCATGTGCAGCTCCCGCGGGCGCAGCCTCGCTCTCGCCCCAACGCACAAGCACGCGCGCCCCCGACCCAGCTGCAGCCCGGCGCTGTGCGCGCGCGCGTGGCAGAGAGAGAGAGAGAGCGAGAGCGGAGCCGGAGCGCTCGGCGCCCCAGCAACGCGAGTCTCGCCGCTGCTCGGGGGCCCGGCCTGTCAAGCGATGAGACAGACGTTGAGGAAGAGAAAGGCCAAGGGAAGGAGCGGCGCTGGATCAAAGGCTGCTGTGGGAGAGAGCTGGCCCGTCTCCAGGAGCCCTTCCCAGAGCCCTCAACATACAGGTGAAACGCTCGCCTCTCCCCGGGAGTTTTCACTGAGTCACTCCGGCACAGCCCTGCACGGCGCACGGCGCACAGCTCCAGCTTGCAGCCCCTCCAGTCACCCGCAGGCACATTCTGTTTGCAGCGTGCCAGAAAATGGTCTTGTTCAACTGCCTTCGACATAACATTTTAAGCTTCTTTTATGAGCACAAGATCAAGCAGCGCAGACAGCTACAATCCCACGAACCCTGCCTGAAATTGTCTAATTGTCTCATTTTGTGATCTGCAGGCGGAAGCAGGCCTGCAGACCTGTAAGCCATGCCGAAGTGGGTGACTGAGCTGCCTGCTCGGGGGGGCCGAGGCGTGCTCGGCCCCGCGGCCCCTTCTGCGTGTTGAAATGTCCAGGCCCCTGGCCCCCGGGCCCTGGCCCCTGGCCCCTGGCCCCAGCGCGGAGGAAGACACCTCTGCATTCACCCCTGGTGCAGAATGAGATTTGAGACCAACGTTCCCACTAAGCTGTGTGTGCGCGTGTGTGCGCGCGCGCGCACACAGGTTATGAAACCAGCCCACATAGGAAATTGAACTGCGCGCAAAAAAATGTAATTCCCCCCCGAAAGATAATAATAATAAAACAAACACGGTCGTCAATTGAAAAATGCTAAATTGACCACGATACTGGCTGCGAGAGGCCCGACTTGGCTGTGCGCGTTATTATCGCTGCTCGATCATCGATATCCGTGCTCTCGGAGTCTCGTACCTCCCTGCTCCTGCTCGCTCCACACTCGGTCTCCATGACTGGGCTCGCTGAGTCGCTGTCCCGGTCTTTTAGGTCTCTATGCTTCTATGAGAATGACTGTATTGACCTAGAAATGATTTCAGGTTCACAATTTGACATACACTCAACGTCGTGCGCACACGTTGTTGTCACTGCGGAGAACATTTGCACAACTTGAAATTGTTGCGCGCGCAGGCCATTAAAAGTTAAGAGGGAAGATTGCTCGAGACTCCTGTGGGCCACGTGATGTGACGATACACCACCGCCGCCCGGGATCCTGGGCGGCACATAACTGGCGGGATTGGAGGACTGTGGATCGCGAGGAGCCGGAGGGAGAGGAGCCTAGAGGAGCTCAGGGGGAGGACGAAGAGTAACGTCACCAAACGGGGCTTCTCAATGGCGTAGGAGCGCTGGAAGGGGACTGTGGACTGGACAACCGCCGTTTCAGAGCCAGGACCGGGGAAAGGCAGGGACAACAGCAGGAGGTGGGGCTTGGAGGGACTCTTTCAGTGTGCAAATCCAGCCCGAGCATCCACTTGCTCTAACTGACTGATAAAGGACAATCCAATTTTGTTAGGACAGTTGGAATATAATAGAGATTGCATGGCTTTGCGTGAGCGTGTGCTTATTGTGAGATTTGTATGGTGAAATGAAGTTCATTCTGATTGAAAAAAAAGAACTGGTGGGATCGTCGTGCGTTGCGCGAGGGTGCTGTTCCCAAGTCAGACCCCCGAAGGGAACCCCGCAGCTGATTCGCGGAGAGCTGTGCAGGTGGTTGCATTTCAGCGCTTCACTTCACCACCTAAATTTGGGGTCCCCAATGGAGCCCCA